ATATTCTTTCTATGATAGCTGTTATAAACTGTTTTATACAAGAACTGCCACAATAAAAGATAGGACTTTACAACGATTATATAGAAAGAGACAGACGAGCTTGGCTTTATTGGTTGTTGATGCTAACATTATATATACTTTATGAGGTTCTAAATATCTCCTTCTGCGTGTTACGAATTTTGTGACATTTTAATAACCTCTGCAAGCTACTGCATGACTCAACCCGCAGTGGCGCCCTCTGTGGGCGGGCAGCACAGTCATCAGCTTTTGCTCCTCATATTTATTATTATTATATATTATCTTTTTGTTGTACTATGTCTAGCTTATTTATTCGTCTATCCAGCTAGCGCCAAGGTGAAATAAAACCTACATTTTGTTTCTTTTTTGACTTTTGGGTTTTTTTTGAATTATATTTTGTTTTAAAGTACTTATTGGATTTGCCAAAGTTCAGCTTGTCATGGCAAAAGATAAAAGTTTTTCGTTTTCTCCCACTGGAAATGTCAACAAAATTGACAAAATTATTAGAGAACCTGTGGGGGAAGCCTGGATGAGTGCAAATAGATAAGTTTATTTTGGCTTTAGGCGTTTCTTGGTTTGTTTACATAAGAAGTGCCATGGATTATGAGTTGTTAAAAAACTTGTTGGACAATTTAGCATTGCACAGTAGTCTTACAGGCTATGAAATGATCTGACTAAACTTAAGTTATGATGCAAGATATTTTGGAAAATTCCTTAGCCCAACTTGGCAGAGCCGAGTTCTACTATGCGAGCAAAAGCATATCACAAAGCTGTTAAGCGGTATCTTGGTCAAGCTCAGGAATGACGAGCTCCAAAATTTCCCTCACCTATCTGCAAATCCTTTTATTGTATGTCCAAAAGTACACCTTATCTTCGACTTGCCGAAGATAGCAGTGTCTTCTAATTGTTTTATTTTTTTAACGAACAATAATTCTTCGATTTATTTAATTAATTAGCATAAAGAGCACGCTGAGCCTTTTCCCAGACAGCAATTGGACCATGCTCTGGCCGATACTTGACATTGCATCCATCCTGCTCGAGGCGATTGTCATCACGGAGTTCTTCGTAGCGCTCGCGATCGAACTTGGTGAAGCCCCACTTTTTCGATACGTAGATCTTTTGGCGACCTGGAAACTTGAACTTGGCGCGACGCAGAGCCTCAATAATCTGTGGCTGATACTTGTCAGTGGAACGCACCGACATGATGGGCTGGCCAATCCGGACCCGAGCAACTGTGCCTAGGGGCTTGCCGTAGGCACCTCTCATGCCCGTTTGCAACCGATCGGCGCCGGCACAGGACAACATTTTGTTAATGCGAATGACGTGAAATGGATGCAAGCGCATTCGAATATGAAACTGATCCTTGCCGCAAAACTTTACCAGGTACTTGTTGCAGCAGATGCGTCCAGCTTCGAGGGCCTCGCTGCTCAGCTGCTCGCATTCATCAGAAACTAAATGGACGCATAGTGGAAAGTCCTCAACAGTTGCCTTCTTCCGACCCAAATCGAAAATGCGAATTTTTGGATCGGGAACACCGCGACAAAAACGCGATTTCGGATACGGCTTGTTTTTACAATAACGATAACATCTGGCTGGCCGACGACCCATATTAAATTATATATCACACGGCACGGCACAAAAATGTATTATAAATTTCTTCAAATAATTTTCTTAAATTTCCTTAGGAAGTGTTTCGTCGAAATTTCAAATGAAATGAAATGAAAACATGCTCAAGTTTGGCAAAGTTAACATCAGCTGCTGCCTTTGTTAGAAAATTTTCAACGAAATGTAGAACAATCGTGATTAAAACTTTTTGTTTTGAACTAAAACTTAGAGCTCCATGCTTGACAATTCCTTTTGCTGCCAAGGAACTTTAATGAACACCTCAAAGCGAAGGCAAATTAATTGCCAAGTCAAATCAAAAACAGACAAACACATATAAAATTGCAACAAACTATTGACTAGCGGATATCCTGTAAATAAATGCTGTGTCTTATGTAAGGCAAACAGCGGTAGCTTTTATTCCATTATATTTTTATGTATAGAAAGATATTTTGTTTTCTTGTAAGTTATGGTGTTCTTTATAGGGTATTCAAGAATCTATATACCAAGCTTAATATTTCCAGAATAAAAATTTCTTTAAAACGGATACTTTACTTTCAATCCATTTTTTTTCTATTTCAATCCAATGGTCTTTTATAGTACTTTTCTAGGTTTTTCAAGAACCTATAGTTCGAATGCCATATAAACATCTTCTATTTGTTAAAAACATTTAAAAAGACTCTCTATTCTGTCTGAATTGATAGACAAAATTAGAATGAAATGATTGTTCGTTTTTATATAGGGTATTCATGAACCTATATGCTAAATTTAATATATATCCAGCAAGAGATATTTGCTGTTATTGAGTTATTTTTTCTTCTTCACTTGATATGCTGTTACTTCCCATACTCATTGCCATGGTTACAGGGTATGGGCACAGCAACAAAAAAATAGGAAAACGGAAATTGTAACCAATGTTGTGGCTGCTTTTGTTGTTGTTGATGTCATTGTGGAGTGAAGCGCAGCGGCAATTGAATGACAACAGCAACTGTTGCTGTTGTTGTTGTTGTTGTTGTTGCTGTTGCTGTCGCTGATAATCTTGTTGCTGTCGTTGTAGTTGGTGTTGCTGTTGTTGCTACTGCTGTTGGTGTCGTTTGTATTTAATATTTAAGCTCAGCCAGCGACAAGATTTAAAATATTTGTGCGCCGCAGTCACCAAAAGATTTATGCGCGCATGAATATTGGACGTTGTGTGGCAAATGCAACACACGCCACAAACACACACACACACACGCAGGGAAAGGAGGACAGGTGGTGTCAGCCTCGTGATGATGCATTTGGGTGGTTGGCTTTGCAGTTCGCACAAAAATCGTGTTTGCACGCGCGACTTATGCAACATGCCGCTCATCGTGAAGTCTCCTCACATGGCTAGTTTTTTTTATTGCTTCTTATTTATTTTCAACCAGATGTTTGGCGACTTTGGTTTGATTTACGGAAAATGGCATTTCAGTATTTCCATCATCATCAACAACACCAAGCACCAAGCAGCACACGTCACGACCTTGTGCGTGGATTGTGCAAACAGCTCCTAACTATGCCAAGGAATGGCAAACTGAGCATAAACCACAATTGTTGCCGCTGACACAAACAAAGGCAAGCCCATGGCAAAAAATAAGGTGGGCAGTCTGCACAGATGGGGGGCCACATTCATTACCCTCGCTGACTAATTGCCGCAATGAACTTGAAGGCTTTTCACTCGAGAGCTGAGGTGTGGCCTATGCCTTGCGAATGGCTAAAGAGATAAATGTGACTCTGGAATGGCAGCTGATTTCTTAGCTTAGGCTAAGCAATTAGCAATACCAACAAATATAAAAAGCAAACAAAACAAGAGTACTTAGTTATTATAAATAGCGCAGGCAACAACAATTGCATGACATTGAAAATTGTTTAAGCTCTTGAGAATTTTGAATTGTCACTCCACTTGCATAAGAAAATGCACTGACATTGCCCACGACATTTTTAAAGAAAAATATTATCAGTGTTACTCAGCTGACAAGTCACAAAAATTAAACTTTTAATGTCCGCTAACATATTCGAACATATGCACACACACATACATACATACATACATACATACAAACATACATACATGCATACACACATGTACATGCATTAAAATTTACTCACATACATGCATACATACATACACACACACACACATATATAATATTTATATACCTACCTTTCCCAGAAATTGCCTGTATTATTGAATACTTTGTTCCACTTAAGCTCACCATTATTAGATTTGTATAGAAGCTATCCATTATTTATTGCTAGTGTATTATATATATATTATATATATAAAATATAATATGTCAATAGTATCGATAGGTGCAGTAGTTTTCTAATATGTTATGCATTTTGAATACTACTATAATAAACTGGGTTTTCAGATCATTTTAGCCGAAATAGGTTATTGCTTCAATTTAAATTGTTGGCTAGGAGTTCTTAAAGATTTTGAATTTGTAAAGTTTGATTGTTTTTATGTATTGTTATGTAACTAAAGCCACACAAATGGAGCGTAAAATAAACTCACAAGCCATGCACTAGAAAAGTAAATAAAAAAGCGGCTTTTTAAAAAACCTAAGCTCAGCTGATCCAGATTATAAAGCTACCATTTTAGACATACACAGTTTGAGGGCTTTTCATCAATTTAACTCGCCCTTCTGTCTGACTGCATCGTGAGCGTCGTCTTCAATTGTAGCCGCAGCCAAACAATTGACTTTAATGGCAGCAGGGAAAAGCGTTGAAAATGTAACTCGTAAATGAAAATAATTGTTGCACGATATTTGGAAAATTAATTATGCTGCCAATTTGATGGTGTTTTTGTTGTTGCTTTAGTTGTTGTTGTGTCCAATTGAATTAAAAGCATGCCAGACAATTGGTGCACATTGTTTGCGCTGCCCGTTTCGGTGCTTTGCGCCTCAATTAACGGCAGCTTGTGGCAACTGCAGAAAGCGAAACAACGCGCCGATGGACACCAAAAACCGGAGACCCCAAAAATGCTGCAATTGCAGTAGTGCGAAAATATTCACCATCGTAAATTTTGTACAATTTGAACTCGAAAGTCGTTAAATGTAACACGCAGGACATGGGCAAACCCACACACACTCACACACATGCATAGAGGAAATTGGGTCAGGCAGGCGAGGGCAGAGCAATTGCAAATTCCTTACAATTGGTTACAGCGGCCAGGCAAGTGAGCAAGTGTTGGGAAAAGGGGGCCAGTGTTGGTCAACGTTGTGTAAGTATATGCATATAGAAATTTGTATCCCATTGCCATGGCCATTTTAAGTGTAAGTTTGCCAGCAAATGCTGCTAAAGTTGAATTTGTAAAATTGTTTGCCTCAGTTGGAGTCTAAAAAATGATTCGTACTTACCGAGGCTTCCACTGGGTAGCTTCGTACTTGGCCTGCCCCAAGGGTGTCGGAGTTTTAGGTCCGTGCTTTAATTTCATTGCTGGTACCCTGTATAAATACATTGTCTCAATAAGGCATCAGAGGGTTCTGCAATTCCTGTAAAGAGGGAAAAGCGGAATAACAAACTTCTCATTATATATTTCTGATGGAATTCAAGTAGCTTGTTGTTCACAAATAATGTGCTGTTTCTTAGGGAACAAATCAAATCGTAGCTGGTTCGAATCCAGTTGACAAAACTAAAACCAACCCCAATTTTAGGCATGTTTATGTCCAATTTTGTCTGACTTTGCATGCAGCATTAATGGGAGCTTGAAGGCAAATATTTTATAAAATACAAATTGAAATATTTCCCTTAAAATTGGAAAGAATATTTTCATTATATTTTCTTTATATATATTCAAAGTTTCAACTAAGTTCCTATTAATTTAATATATTTTTGTTTATATTCCCTACTTTAGGCAGAAATACAGGATATTGCCCAGGCCAGCTATTTTGCTCAGACAACCGATGTTTGAGTTTGTTTTGCCCATTCTCATGTTTTTCGAGGTAAATAAGGATAAATGGCAACGAAATGACAGTGAAGTGTGTGCGGGCTGGGGAATTATGATGTGTGTGTGTGTGTCTATTCCTGATATGTGTACTCAAGTGGCAGGTTAGCTTACGGTTCTCTTTTGTACTAGTAAGAAGCCTTCGAAATGATTTAGATGCGCTTACAAGCTCTGCTTAAAATGCACATACAAAGCAATAAATCTCGTATACCCCATATAGACACATGCACAAAACACTCTATGGCTAAAAATGAAAATAAGATAAAAGTAGTTAAAATGAAAAGCATCAGTGAAAAACGGAAAAAAAATAAAGCTTCATGTTACAAGAGTTGACTAGAGGATACCCTGTAAACAGCTAAGAAGAAAAGCATAAGTGAAAGAGAATTAACTTTATGTATTGAGATTAATAGAGAAAAAGTTAGTAAATATTGTGTAGCAATTTGTTGTCAATAAAACCTTTACGAATATTGCATTAAAAGGAAAAGGAAATTAATATGCTTACGAGAGGGTAAGCACGACAGAAGATACTGATCACACATAAATAAATATAAACAAGATATGCACACATTCAATACGATGCGAGAAACAATTTACTTTCACTACCAGAATGTTGTACATAAACTTCCGGTTTATACTACATGTGGCATATCGTAATGCATTATATGTTTATTTAAAAAAAGAAAATAATAATATAGAGCATAGAAAATAGTAAAGTAAACAGAATGGTTATCTCAAGCGCAAACAAACTTTGGTGGAACAGAATGCAAACATTTTTAGCTTTTCTTTTTTGTTTTTCTTTTTTTTCACATTATTTTTTATTCTGTGCGCTAAAAAGAAAATGGTGTGTGTGTGTAAGTGGATCACAGCGTTGCCCGTTAGCGTTTTTGCCATTTTTAAGGTGTGTTTTTTTGCATTAAAAACTGTTGAATTTTCCCTGCAGCAAATATGTAAGTGGCAATAAATATGTGCAACGCAGCCAAGCGTAAAGAAACGGGCAAAAACTGAAATATTGCTACTGATAGGAATTTGTTTTTGCCTTCCACCCGCGTTTTTCTCTGTTTTTGTTGCATTAATTATGGGCTTAATGGAATATTTTTAAAGCAACAGACAAAAAGTTTTTGAATATTTTCAAATTTTGTAGTCAAGAACTGGGTGTAATAGTATAATGGAATTTTAAGCAGTAAAATAGAAACTTTTATTAAGCATTTCTGAACTTTCGTTTTAGCCCAAGTCAGATAAACAAGATGACAATAGCTTAACAGCGAGAAAGAGGTTAACAGTTTGGGGATTAACATGAACATTTTGTAAGCGAGTACAGTGAATGCTCCCTTGGGCGGACAGCAACTTTTTTTTGATAAAATCTTTTTTTTTCGTACTTCCTTTCAATAAATTGCTCCCGTTGGGCGGACGCTCTTTTGTTTAAAATCTCTTTAATTTAAAAATAAAAATGTAGGAAAAGTGAGTATTAAAAATGTCAACACTTTTTCTTTTTAAATCAGAACTCGCCTGTTGGCATTTTTAAATCTACTTCTACTATTATTCCTTTGATTCGAATTTGTCTTTCAGACTTGGATCCGAATCGATTCGATTCACAGCCTTTTTGTAGCCTGGATGCCAATAAACGAATCAACATTTAATCAAAAGCATACCTCAACAATTTGAGATGAGTCCACAGCAGTTCCTTTACATAAAGCCAATGCAGATCACGATAATACAATTTATTTCAATTACACTCAAAGTTAACCACTTCTTTTTGATTCTATATTGATTCAGCCTTTTTGTCATTCATCATCGTTGTTGGTCCTTCGACATTTTGTCAAAGTTCTTGCACGCATTTCTGGGTCTTCCTCTATCGTCCTTTGAATGCCAATGCCCAAGAATATTGCTTTTAATCAGCTTTTGACAAGCTAAATTGAAGTTTAATTAATTTTATCGTTGCCCCGGCAAAGGCAAAAACACAACTCATAAATAGCCCAAGCAAATACAAACACATACCTTTAGTCAATCCTTAAGTAGATGTGGGAAATGTTGGCCTCTGGCCTAGCCTAAACTTTGGCATGCCGCCCAAAGTGGCATGGCACACCCCCATAGAGAAAATATGTCATTTTTCCAACAGCTTGAATGAAAAACACGCATAATTTATGACGGCGAGCAGCATGGAAATGCTGAACGCATCCAGCATGAAATCTGAGTACGATTTCCCTGCCAAGGATTTAGCTTGGGCCAAGCGGTCGGACAGCTCCCTTCAGGTGATGTATTATATTTTACTGATTTATTGCCTTATTTATGCGCAGCATTCGAAAGGTGAAATGTGTGCTACAGCAAGGGACGAAGTATACAACATTTGATTACATATTAAGCTGCCGTCCAACATGTAATGAGGGCTATTCCGTAAAACGATTTCGCTGCAAATCTCAATATGGGCTTAAATGAACAACGAATAAAATTGAGTCTGAATAAAGTTGGGTTATGACAGCAATAAATAATTAATTAAAATTAAATGAATAAGTTTTAAACTCACTTACTTCGATTTTTACTCAATTTATCTGACTTAATAATGTTTCCACTTTGACTGCATGTTTAAAGGTTGCACCAAAAAAGAAAATAAATAAGCAAATCCATTTTTAAGGCTACTTTAAGCGTTCGTTTTTTTTTTTTTTTTGAGCCTATCTCATTAAGAAAACAATTTTCGTTTCTGAGGCAAAAACTGTTTTAAGACCAACAAACATTTGCTGGTAGGTAAATCTTGCATGATTTATGATTTGAGGGTTTGTCTTTCTTTTTGTAATTCGGTTTTGCTGAAATTGTTTTTCGGAATAGCCCGTAACTATTGCAGAAATGTTAAGCATGGCGTATACGTGACTTTTGGTGCTCCAGCAGACTTGAGTGATGGACGCACTTGCCCCTAACACTGGGCACAGGGGCTCAGGCATCACTTAATTTAAATAAGTTTTGTAGCATAAGCCACACACACCGCACACACACACACACCGCACACACAGTTTCTTGGCAAGTGTTGACCACAATTTGTGCATGTGGCAATTGCAGGAGCCAAAGCTGGTCGTCCTTGAACCTTATTTGTGCCGGCGCTTAGTCCAGGCATTTTATTTGTTTGCGCCGTTTGTTTGCGCTGTCTGTTTGCCACAGAAAGCACATGAAATTTATGCGCTGATGTCCTTGCCAGACTCCTCCGCCTGCCTGCCGCCCAGCCAGCGCTGTCTCTTTGTGGCTGCCACATGTACTTGCTACACACTGGCACACACAGACACACACAGATGTGTCTTCGTATTTGACTTGGCTCGTATTTCAATTGTCAATCCGTGTGTGAAATCAACGCGTGCAACTCGTGCGTCCAGTCATGACCAAAACCCAGTTCTCATTGTCCTCATCCATGACAAAGGCGCCTCAAGTCGCCAGGCTAAACTTACTTTCTATTTGCGGAGCAAACAGCTGTTGCTGTTGTCATAACAACACACTTAAAATCAGCAGTCAATCACTTTTCTTATCAATTTCAAGTTTAACGAAGCTCTGTTTCTCATCCCAATTTTCGGATTTCACTTTAAATTCCACGCAGCATCCAATTAAGAGGCTCAAATGGTTTCCCATTGATTTGCGCCTCGTAATGTTAATCCCTCGAAATCTTTGGTCAAAGTTTATTTTATTTTAATTACATTTATTTGCGTGCTGACCAAAGGCCTGCGTTAAGCTGCGACTTTGACATTTGATTCGTCTTGTGCCGCAAAATGAGCTTGAAAATTAATTTGAGTTTGAGGTGATTTTAATTAGAACAAATCAGAGGTATATGAAACTTTTCCAAATAAATTAAAGTTCTGTTAAACAGGTAAATCGCAGGCAGATTATTGGCAAGTTAAATGGAATGATTATTGAAGAACAGCAATTCCTACTACAAGTTTGTTCATGGTTTGGCCTCTAGATAATTGTGGCAACTAAATCTAGCAAGATTATTCTTTTGTCCGCATATACCTTTCATATATTAAAGACTACTTAACATATTATTTAAATAACATAAATTTTATCGAAAGCTGCACAAAAAAAAACACGAAAATTGAACAGGAAATCCTTTAAAAAATGTCTCCAAATTTTATGGCAATAAAACGTAAATTTGGCTTAAAGGAAATTAGTTTATGTTTATCATACGAATACCCTGTACGCATTGCAATTACTGAAGGGTATATTATTGTAATTAATCTATTCTTCTCAGAGACTCGTAGAGCTAGTTTAAGTAAATTGGGTCTATAGGTTTCTGTATATTGTAACCAGATAAATGAGTTGGCATAAATAAATATAAAAAATAATATTAAAATAAAACAAAATAAAATTGCAATTTCTCTTTACAGTTTTCAAAAGTAAACCCTCATATATTTTAAGTATTTTTTATCTTAATTCAAGCAGGGCATCTTCTAGTCCTTAAAAATGCAAATTATTCTCTTCAATGTATAATTTAAATTTAAATTTGTATATCTGATATAATGTGCATGAGTGTGGAATAATCACAAATTTTTTGTGTGCACAAATTTAATGCCGCAA